ATATATATATATATATATATATATATATATATATATATATATATATATTTTTTTTTTTTAAACGATCATCTTTGTCTATTTTTCACCTGGCCCCAGTTTGGCCCCCTCAGTAAAAGTGGTCTAGAACCGCCACTGGTATGAACTCTGTCTACTTTACTGTATAGGCTAATAAACCTTCAAAAAACACTGAAGTATTTAAGAGCTATTTTATGTGAAAGACAGTAGGAGGTAAAAGCATGATTTAAAAAAGCAAAGAAAAACACATTTTCATTTTAACACATTAGTTTTGAGCAATTTTATGGAACCTTTCAATAGTTCCATAATGTCGTCACTCCTATTTCCTGAAATCTGAGTCTTGTTGCATTTAATCAGAGTAATCTTGTTATTGTGCTGTGGAATTAGATTGGGTCTTTGAAGTTATTTCATTCTGCAGATATAGCCAAATGACATTTCTCATACCTTGTAACAGAAGATATACATCTGCTAGTCTACTGTCATCTAGTAGAAACACTGATGCAACACATTGTAAGAACAGGATTTAATGAAATGAAAGGGCAGCTGAGGTGCACATGGAAGGGGTTGCAATCCTCATACCATTTTCAGATCATGAACATTTTATTCATAGGCTACTTGTCTTGTGGGGTTTTAACAATCCAATATTGCAGAAACTACAGGAATGATTACTTTATTAATTATTCCTGTAGTTGTAATACACCTAGCTGTTTAGCTTTACATTTATGATGATCAATTCTAACTAGATTTGGGTTGTTGCAGAACACAGGGTAGAGATCTAGTTAATATTCCGTAATTCATCAATATTAAGTGCTGATAATTGTAGCTCCTTCGTCATCATTCATGTGTCAAGTGTTGTTGACATGTGATTATAAATCAATAACTGAATCCAAACAGAAACAAAAGTTAAAAATTTTTTAAGGTTTAATGCACATTCTGAAGGATGAAATTTGTTCTTTATAAATATATAAAATGTTCATCCATGGCATACTTACAAATACGACTTACAAAAATACATTACAATAGTCAAGGGTTTGGTCTTCGATTTTTTTTCTACATGCTGCCATCTTACACCATCAGACAGAAACAGGAAATGCTGCATGAAATGTAAAGCTTATTAAACTCATTGTTGCTGCACACAGCAGCTTAGTCTATAATCGTGTGAGTTGTGCCATGATAGCAGCTTCCCTCTGCAGCCTTAGGCATCGCTTGGAAAGGCGAACAGGAATCCCTCTTTTCCTGTCATTGACTGCGTTTCGAACCACAGCAGTCGCTTTTCCTTCTATCTTCTTAAGTGCTCGAAGTAGGTCAGAAGCTTTAGTGAAGCCTCCAGAACAGCTAAAAAAGAAACATTAAGAGTATCAGAATCAGGATCCATTCTTATAATCTACTACAGCAGAAAACTGAGCTAACACATAAGACAGGAGAGTGGCACTGCTGTAACAAAAAGTTGTCAGAGATTAACATAAATAAGCATTTAGGAGCTTAAAACCTTTTTTTGCTGTGGCACTTTCTCTCCTTTGGCGGTTTAAAGCAGAACTCAGAGACAAAATCCATCAGCAGCGTTGGGAGAACATTGGGTTGCTTGTAGCTTTTGATTTCAAGAGCCAAGCTGTAAAATTGAAAAATGAAATAAAAGGACACTTACAAACTCACATTCAGTATACATAAAAGCAGGAAACAACAGCATAGGAATGACATAATATAGAGCATGATGTATTCATGAATGACTCAGGGGGACAAAGACAAAGAAAGAGAAAGCTGCCTGAGGGGGCAGGCCTTCCTCTTCTATTCTAACCTGCTGCAGAAAGGAATGAGGAATAATAGTCGTATGCATGTATGGTTATAGCATAAGGGAGAGTGTTCCTCACAGTAGTGGGAGCTGCAATCCATATCAATCAAAATAAAGTAGACAATGTGACACAGATGGGACTGCTTCCATGAAAGACGACTCTGTTTCATTTTAAGGATGTGTCCGCAGTTTTTAAAAGCTTGCAAATAGTGGAGTGCATACATAAATATTGAAACAGGTCTGCTTGCTGTGGTCATTCCTTCTGTTCAAACCTCCATTAACGGATTACTCCCAATGTGCTTTCACTCCTCGCAATGGGGAAAAAATTCCACAGTCCCAGTTGAATGCTAAAATGCAACAGCTCCTCCTTACCTAAACTCTGTCATCCAGGTCTACACACTCACCCCCCCCCCCCCCCCCCCCCCAACACACACACACACTACGCTCTGCCAGCCCTCACCTTCACAACAGGGCCCTGAGTCTCTAACTAGACTCTTCTCCTCTGTCGCCCCCCAGTGGTGAAATGAACTACCAAACTCTATTCGATCTGCAGGGTCCATTTGCACCTTTCAGAAAAAGCTGAAGACCCAATTCTTTCATTATCAATACGTCGCTTTGGATAAAAGCATCTGCTAAGTGAATTGTAGTTACAAACTTTTTGTCAAATGTTCCCTTTTTATCTGATTGGTGCTACTTAAAAAATCATATTGAAATCCTGTTGAATCCTATTGAAAAGCCATCACCGGCTTTGTCAGAATTTGACTGATGTTAAAATCCACTATTTTGGCCGTGTTGCAACAGGTGCTTAGCTTTCTTTTCAATTCAATATGGTACACTTACTTTTGTTAGTAGCCTACTTAAAATTGTGACTTTGGACAAACATCTCCTTTTTGAAAAAGCCAAACCAGTTTCTCTGACTGTAAGGGCACCAGAATGTTTGTTTTATTACAGATTGGAAAATGTTTTAACCTATCCTTTAGTGGTCGCAGTAAGCCACGTCATGGAGCCTGCTGCAGCTTGTCAAAACATCTGTGAAAAAAAAAGAAATCCTTTTACTGCTTCACTGTCACTTTATCATGGCTTACTGGTACACTAAACAGAGCCATTGTTCATGTTATTTGAAACACCTGTGCATTTATAGGTTGTGGCAAGGTAGGTTAAACTTATTACTTATTGTAACAAATTACAACAAAATATTATGATTTTAGAAACAATGCAGTGTGCCTGAAACAATCCGTATCATGGTTCTAGCAAACATTCCTACATTTTATTATTACACTCTTCATATTATTGTAGAGACTGTGGACTATCAGAGCTCTACTCCTTCAACAAAAAAACAAAAAAAACCATGCTGTGCTTCATTTCAACCTTCTGCATGACTTCTCATTTTTCTCTAAGTTGCCGTGGTTACTTCATCTCTGTGCAACCTGCAGGTTGAACGTTTAAGTAACACAGGAATGCAAAACACTCTCATAATGGATTATCGGGGAAAAGGCTTTTGGTTTGTACTGGTATAAAAGCTGTGTGAGGCGTGTATGTCCTTGGCGTCAGTTGATTATGTTGTAAAGCTGTTTCCAAGGGTGATAACAATGTTTGGTTAAACTTTTTGGAACTGAAGCCAAAACACATGAGAAAACAGCACAACACAATCTGAAGTTAAGTTGGAATTTCCTTTCAACGTTCAAACACCGTCGTACATTAATTTCCTCCATTCAATAGCAGTTAACACAGCAGATCAGAGCATGTTGGATAAGTTGTAATGTTGCAGAGAAAAACATAACCCCTTTCATTCTTAAACACGAAGATAAGGATTTATAGATAGTTTTTTTCCTTGTATTTTCTTTTGTGTCAAGTAGGGTCTTGGAAGATTAGAGTCTCATTGTAATCTTTGGCATGAATATACATTCTTGTTTACAGAGTAGAACATGTGTTTATCGAATAACATTGAAATGTATCCAGTTAGGAGACTTCTTTTGTTAAATGAAAATTTATTTTATTTTTTTATTCCATAACTTAAATTATTTTAAAAAAATATATAAAAATGTTCTATCATAATAATTTCACAAAATCATATAACCTTTTACCATGGAACTGTGATATTTTATTCCGATCAGTTGTTACCCTGTTTTGAAGTTATATGTCACCTGTGAGAAACGCATACATGTTTGGGAATATCAAAACTGTTTTTATAACTGAGAAAAATGGGGAAAAAAGGCTTATTATGTTACCGGCTAGTGCAATCACAGTGGTAGGCCGTCTTTGACTCCATGTTCTGAAGCTCATACTTCTTCTCCAGAGGAGGGATCTTGTATTGACATTCATCTAGATGTTTGAGGCTCTCACACAGGAGGTGATTTTCTGCAAAGCAAAAAGAAACACAGGATATCTCACGGAAAAATGTAAGTGTACCCACATTTCTTTATATAACTAAGCAACTCAGACGCCTACTGATGCTCGAGAAAAGGTTAACAGTCTAATTTTATATTCAGAAGTTTTCAGCATTTCATATAATCTTTCTGCCTCACCTGTAGGGACCATAGCTGGGCAGCTTAAGCTCTTTAACCCGGGGGAATTTCTGTTGGCTCCTTCAAAATTCAATCCCTAATTGTCACCCCTTGTGGAATCTATTCAAATGTTCAATGAAGTTTTGACAAATATGTGTTATCAGCTCAGATAACCAACTAAAGTATATTTAACTGATTCAACACTTAATGAATTGGTTGAATATTTTCTTTGAATAGAAGTTGTACTATTACGCTGACATGATGGGTCATCAGTGACTGCATTTCCTCACCTGTCAGGCCTCTCTCTGCAGCTGTAGTTGGGGCTTTGGTTCGACCCAAGGACTCCGGTCTTGTGTTATTCCAGACCAGATGGGAACTCTTCATCCCTTGTGTCTTAACCTCCTCATGAGAGGAGACCGCTTGCTTTGGCTTTGTAGAAGTAGCTCTACTCCGGAGTTTTTTAAAGGTGTCTTGTTTCAGGTCTTTTTCAGTTGTCTTTTTAAGCTGCAGTTTCTCAAGAGATTTTATAGGTAATCTATTTGTAGGTGTTGAGGATGTAATAGTCATCCTGTCCGATGCTTTTAGTTTTGGACATCTTTTGCAATGACGCTGAAAAGCAACACCTCTCAGAGCAAGTCCACAGCAGTGAGTCTGTTTCTGAACTTTTTTCTTACTTTCAGCGGTTTTGGTCCAAGCTGTTGGAATTTGTAACTGCATGTTCTGCTTGTGTGTGAAAGATGGGGTGCTTTGTGTTGTAGATGTTGTATGTGGGTAAAGAATTGTGGTCACGTTAAGAGAAACTTGGCTCTTCTGTGTGGTAAAGGACGACTTGACCTTTCTTGTGCTCTTCTTTTTTCCAACTCTTTCTTTCTTTGACAACAAGGAGCTCCCATTGGAGGCATTTAAAACACCCATTTTCATCAAAGGAGTAGCCGTTGTTACTGAGGGCCTTTGCGAGGGAGCTACTGTAGACAATTTCTGGTGTCTTTTACATCCTTTCCCCTTCTTCCTTCTGCGATGGAAAGTGTCTCCTCTGGGTGGGTCTCTGGAGCTACATCTATGGTCACTTTTGGGTGACTTTGTGCTGACCATAGGTCTTTCCGTTACCTGCCACCCTCCAGTACCTGTTATCTTAGTGCTGTCTGTGTTGTCCCCAAATTGGCTTGTAAGATCAGAGGTGTTGAAAGGGACGGTGCTTTTGAAGAAAGCATATGGAGCCACATTGGCTACTTTGCACCTATAGAGAATAAACATGCGTGTTAAAACCAAGCCATGGAAAAAGGGGTGTTTATAGGTACATGCTGTACTTTCAGCTATGCACCACATTCCTTGCAGAAGTATTTCACTTACAAGGGGTAGACTTGTTATTACCATTAGGGATATGATGTGTAATTTTGAGCAATTTTAATTTGCTGTTTCCTGCTAACAGAGTGAAAATGTAATAATCACTCTCTACCTATGAATTAGCATCACTTAAGTATAGTTTGCTAATATCATGAGAACAGAATTATGAAAAAGTCTTGTTTTTTGTCTGTGAGATCACTTGTCAGTAACCTTACTGAAGTTGTAGAAACAGAGTGGAGTTGTGGCACAGTGCCCTGTGTGAATTTGTGAGGTTTGGCAGAATGTCAGGCATGTCTTTACAAGCAGCACAGGTATATCTGCTGATCTACAAGGTGAACTGTAGCTGCACTTTCCACTGAATAAATGTATGGTTTTATTTGCGGCGTCATTCAATATGCAGTAAAAGCTTCGAGGAACAATGAAAGTGTTTCTCTTACATCCCCCACCAGTACATCTCAGTGCATCGCTTATGGGGTTTGAGCTCAAAGCAGGGAACCTGCAGGATGTTGAAGAAGCTGTAGCCAACCATGCTGGAAATGGTATCATTCACACCGAGGAGGCACTGTCGGAACCTGGTTAAAGGGACAAAGGTCACAATAGACTCGAAAAAATGATTGCACACATTGTGGGTAAATGTCCTTGAACACTGCCTCAAATTGTCTGCAGCTTTGGTGAAGTTCAAACAATCTGTAACAGCAGATAAGTGTTTAGCCAGGAGGTAAAAGTTACTTCACTACTTCATATTAAACACATTTACCTGTAAGCATTAGATGGGAAGGGAGAAGAGAACAACATAAACTCTGCAACTGTAAAATATTATGAGGGGGAATGCAATGCCCTGCAAACGCTAAAAAAGTGAGCAACATGTTCACACTTGAAAACAAAACTGTATCCAGAGGGCTGATGACACTGATTAATTTATTACTCCTCTATGAATGGTAATATGACATGGCCCTAGGTTCCTCTCCTTAAATCTGTTCATATGTGGCTCAGTGACAAAAACTGAATGATATTAACATTCCAAAGATAAGCACACATTTATGAGAAAGAAATGTAAGGTTTACACCTCCAGAGAAGTTATAAATTGGGCCTCCCCAGCAGGTCTATCCTCACTTGACCTGGTTGACAATCGATAAAGGTGAAGGGAAGGTCTCACTGAGTTTCCCTGAAGATGTTAATACTTTTGAACCCCAATTCAGTGTAAAATGTCTTTGTGTGTTCATACTGAGGCTCACCTTTGGTCACAGTCACAGTGTGAGACAGTGAAGAATTTGGAGTTGAAGACGCCGTAGTTCACAGTGAAAGCTGGGATGATGTGCTGACAGTGGTCGTGCTCACGGCAGCATCTATCTGCACCCTCAAACATCCCTGTGCAGGTGAGTGACATTTAAAGTCAATCACAGATTGGTTAACAATTGATTGATTATAATAAAATGCTTTAAAGACAGTCATTTGACATTAAAAGATGCATGTGTTTAGAACTTTATTACAAAGAGTCTGACAAGGAACACCTTTTTGATCTATTAGTCTATTGGTTTGGGGGGATTGAAGCAGTTGTATATTGTTTTGTTTTTTTAAAGAAAAATCTATTTTTTATAAAAAAAAAAAATTATTAACTCAAATAAATCAAACTGATCAAGTTATCTTGATTTTTTTTCTTTAAAAATGTTTGTCCTACCTCTAAAAAGTTTTCGCAGAATTAAATCTTACTGTATTTAATCAATTTACATTAAATCTAGAAAAAGCTGCTGAAAGGGCCCCTAAGATCCCTCCAAGTCTTTTATTTCACATTCTGAAAGAGGGTCCACATTCCCAATGCAAGAAAAAATGCATACTAAACGAATGCGGCAGTGTTGTGTTTTAACTAGCCTACATGTTTTCTTTGACCTCTTTTTAGGCCTATATGTAAAGGGGGAAACAACAATAAAACATTTCAAAAAGGGATAAACATCCTTACCTAACTGTTCGTATCCAAGAGCTCTACTTCCCGTGCCGCACCACAGCGTACCTGGAAATATCACGCTGCGCCTACTCCGAGTTTTCCCCTCTTTTCCATCTTGTCTTGCTCTCCTGAAAAACTTCTTCTTGTCGGAGAAGCGGGGAGCGCACGGGGCATCCGAAACCAACAACGCGCTGATATTAAACCTTTGACTGACTTCTTGTCTTTGCGTGTTGCATTCATCACAAAGAGCGAGGTATCTCTCCGTGACGACTGGACTAGGATTGACTTCACAGGTCACCAGTCGTTTATCCTCGGACCACAGGGTGAGGTACAGAGAGCGCGCGCCGGCTGTCTCTTCTCGCAGGAACGTAACGCGCGTCTGTCCGTCATCTGCACGACTGGATCTGACACAGGAGATTCCTGATCCCATGAAATCCTGCGCTTTTGAAAAAATAAGCGATGACAAGGCGAGAAGAACTTGTGGAAGGCACCTGCTGTGCATCGCAATGCGAATTGGGTGTATAACCAATCCAGTTTAAGATTAGATGGAGCGTAAAATCAAAGTATGAATGGACGAATTATTCCACATTAATTGATACACTTCTGCAGCAGCCGGCGTGTGTCTGTGCCTGTGCTCGAAGAAGCACTTCAAGATAAACGCTTTTTCTAATTGGTCCTTATGGAGGCAATTCATGACACACCTCACTTTGTGAGTGTGGGGGTGTGAGAACTGAATCAGACAGGGCTCAGTTAAGGATTAACTCTTTTGACTCTAATAAACCAACGGGTTTCCTCAGGTCAAGAGCGAAGTTTAATCAAACTAACTACGACACACAATTATTGAACATTTGATCATCTCATAGGCTACGAACCAGAGGGAGTTATTCATTAACTCACATTTATGACGAGAGCTGAAGAGCTGTGACATGTGGCGATTTCCGGCAGATGCTGAATACAGGTGACGTGTACAAAGTTGTGACTAAAAGTTACCTTAATTTCTATCTCACATTTATTACAAATTCTGCTCCTGTGCCCTAGTTTCATCTTCTGTGTTCAACTTCACACACTACTAAGTCATATCTTGACTCTAATTGGTCCATACACGAGGCTTGTATGCTTTCATCATATTTTTATTGATCTGTGTAAACTCTGCAAAATCCTTTACATGCAAAGTTATTTGCAAACATACATTTTTTCCAGTGCATGCACTATCTATGTACAAATACAGAGATAAAGCAAGAAACATTCCACTGAACTGGCAGAATCATGTTTTAGACAGCTGTAAGTTGAGCTCAGAGAGAAGCCTGTTAAAAAACTATTGATTATAATTCGTCATCATCTGTTGATCATTGCAGCAGTAGCACGACATAGGACAGTGTGTGTGATGCTACTGGTGGGTATTTCAATCACTGCCATAGGGCAGGCTTAGTAGCTGTGCAGAGTAAACAAGACACTTAAGAGAATTGAATGTGTACGTACAGAAAGTCATTCAAAGAGCAAGAATCATCTCAATGTTTGCTACTGATTCATTTGGCTGAAGTTTTTTTGTTGATGTGCTCAGTGTGGATGCAGTCTATTCAGATCACACCATAGTCACCATAGTCATGCAGATTATGGCCTCTTGTATATGACATATTAACAGGAATGTTATGGGCAAGAGTGTAAACATTAATGAATTACAATAGCATTCATTTTTTACAAAGAATATATATCTTGAACCACAAGACATTTCATGCATAGGATTTTTTGTTTTTCCTCATACTGACCTTGGAATAACTTGCAATCAGCTGTATAAATTGAGTTCATTCCACTCTGTAAGGTGTGCTTTCCTTCTTTTGCTGTGATCAATAAACTAACACACACTAAAGCCTCTTATGATTGGGGCGTGGCACAGGAGAAAGAGCCCTGCTTTGTGCAATATGGTGCGTTGGGGTGAAAGCGGGCCATGCCCCAGGCACACCAGAGTCACGAGCACAGTGCATGCAGGTAAAGCTGCACATACTTTTGACATAACCCATACCACCCTTTCTCCTTGGAAAGGGGAACCTCTAAGAGTTCAGACCGTGTGCATTCTTTGTAAACACAACTGTAGAAATCCTTTGAGGTGTCAGAGTGAACCACAAGCTTCAGAAGAGCAGAGGTAGCAGGAGGAAATGCCCCTTTCCTGCCAATTCTCACCACAACTAAGAATAAGAGTTCACGTTTCAGTTTTTCTGATCACAGTTAACTTTCTACAAATCAAATCTCACAGCTTGACCTAAGCATACATAAAAACTTCTAATGCTCAACTAAGTGTGCCATCATTCTAAATCACAGATTAACAGCAACCGATGAAAGAATCATCTAGCTCATGGTCCACTGACTTATGACTCATCTGTATATCAGATGTCTATCCTAACCTGAGCAATGTATCAGTATGTAAACATTTCTTCATGGGAATATACAAAATGCTGAGGACAGTGGGCACAGGTGAAATATTTGAAGGTGCAGCTGCATGTTTCCTTACGTCTGGGGCTTGGCATGCGAATACAGTTCAAGTACACTACAGCATGATGTCATCACGTGACAAATTAGAAGAAAAAATAAAAAACCCTTACAGTCTAATAAAATTTAAGCATGAGCTCAATCAAAGCTTTTATGTCTTTAAACATTGATTTTGACCTCATATGCCATAACATATTGCTATTCTTGTTCTGTGCCAGTGCAATTATTCAACTTTATTTTCTTAAGCAAAGAACGTGTCAAGTTCAGTACGCTACACAACATCATGGAGGCATGATTGGTCTGTGTGTAGCTCTTTATTGACGTGTGTTTGTGACATTTCTAGTTCTTTGATGCTGTGATTTGTCTGAGAGGCAGATTAATTATCAGCACAGGCAGAGAAACTGTTAATAAGAGGACAGGAAAGAAGAGTATACACAACCGGGGAGGGTAAGGATGCGAGTAAGCCTCTGTGATGGTCATAGAGTGAAAGTATAGACAAAATAGAGGAAAAGTGCAATAAGATATGAATGCAAACCAAGTAGGGAGGCAAGGTTTTAGCTCATGCTGTGGTATGTGGTTAATCACTAGCAGTGTGATTCTCGTTATACAAGGTGTGCCAGCGCTCGATCCTCTTGTCCTTGTTCTTTAAACACTCGTACCAGTGCTTCAGCTGCTCTCCTTTTGCAGTGATACCCAGCTGACAGCCACCTGTCGGGGAGGGAAGGAGGGAGGCGTGAAAAGGTAGCCAGTTATCAGGTGACAGTTTCATTCACGATGCATCAAAGCAATGATGCATTAAAGCAGTATTTACCAATGTAGTCATTGGACTTCCCAATATCGTAATCCCACACAGAGATGTCTAAAGTCTTCTTGGCCAGATCGCTGTGTTTGATGTCGTAACTGAATTCCTGAAATTGAATTGAGACAGTAATCAATCCTTAAAAAGACACTTCCAGACTTTTTTCATAAACATAATTATTCCATTATAATTTGAAGATTTGCTTATTCGGCAACACTTTCCACACTTTTAGTTAGATTTTTAGTTAAATAACTGTGTATTTATGTAGCAGTTTTTTATGTTGAGTTTATATGAATGTTTGCACCAGTTTAAATTGAAGCAAAGCTTTATTCTTCTGTGAAAACGTCAGGTGTTGGTAGGCCTGAAATGAAGTTTTAGCCTGAGTAAACTGAATCTAACAAAGTGTATTGCATCAATTGTTGTTTGGATTAGCTATAAAGTAACATTCCTTATTTAATGGTCTAATAAGTGTTAATTAATCACATTAAGTCATAGTGATTTAAAATTTGTCATTAGTTAAAGTATTTAATCTTCATGAGACATGCAATAGTGAAAATACTCACTGTATAATGAGCAACATTTCATTTTATAATTTAAACCCTTATTGAAAAAAAAATTACTTTATACTTAAAATTTTTAATTCACTTGCTTACTTGTACATCCTTTTACTAATTTCATGCTCTCTTACAAACCTCATTATATTCTGGGTTCAGGGTCCTCTTCTTGATTTGTGTTTTGCTCTTTCCCTTCTTCCCCATGTCAGGTTTCAGGCATCTGTAATGCACACACGCACATAGTGAAGTGTATGTAATTTCTTGAGACTTAATTTACAATCGGGAGGTACTTCAGATACACAATATGTTTTACCTACATTTTAACATATGGGTCAGAGTAGCCGTTAGCGTCCATTGCAGCGAGATGAACGCAGCGCACAACACCCACGACGAGACGGTTGGTCTGGGTACTGTACATGAGGGACATCAGAATCCGCCCGCGCTCCTCCACCTCTCCGCCCTCCTTCCCTGTCTACAGTTAAACAGAGTACAGAGGGAAAGAAGGATTTACTGGGTTTTCATGATAATATTTGTGTGAACTACTGGAGGAATCTGTCATGTTTGGACATGCTGGCAAATAAAAGCATTGCCTCATCCTCATAGAGAGCGATGCCTCTGGCTCCCCCGGCTGTTGCAGTCCTCTTCGTCTACAAGGTGGAACGAGATTAAGGCAGGTCAATAAGAGATTCAGACAAGGAGAACACGGCAGCGTTTAAAAGTAATTGAGTTTCACTCACAGGGATAACTCTCTCGAGACACACGTTGAAGTTTTTCTTCTGGTTCATCTTGAGTTTCTTCAGCGCCACTCGGGTTTCCCCAATAAACTCATTATGCCCAAACTTATCTTCATCACAGACGGAGAGCCTGCAGAAATCAAAAGGGATTTTTAATCATAGAGACCCGTCTACACCCTCAAAAGAGTTAACTGAGGACATCTTAAGTTTGAAACATGAATACAAGGCAGTTGAAGCTAAGTGAGTGATTTAGATTAGACTGTCTGAGGTACAACACCTGAGGGTTTTACGCTGCATGTCCTCATCTGTCAAGCCGTGGTAGGTGAGCGTCTCATTCCACGCAGGGTTGCGGGTGTTTCTCAGGGTTTTTGTGCGCAGTTTGTTAGACTGATGCAGGACAGATCAGGACAAGGAAATGGAAATATCTTGAGGCAAGTTACCACGACACAAGATCTCACACCTGTGGTTTGTGGTGTTTCTTTCAGGGAATATTTACATGCTGCTACTTCCCTCCAATCATGCACAATTCACTACAGCCGTACAACCCTTTATACTCAATTTGCACATGCAATGATATTTGAACTTTTTTACTTATTTGTCTTTTCTAATGATTTATGTCTTGGCATCATCCTGTGCATGTTATTGTTTCTGTTAATTCAAACCACTGGGTGTCAGGCTTGAGCTTGCAGAAAAGCTTCTGATCAAATCAAGGCTAAATAAAACCACCACCCTTCCTCTTGTACTTAGCAGGATATTAATGTAATAAATCTTTCAAAAGAAGTAAAAGCTCAATCTAGGAAAGATGCGTTCTCTACCTTACTAGCCCCTGGCAGCAGATGAAGCTTCACATAAGGATCTGCCAGTCCATTTGAGTCCATGGGCTTCAGTCCCTGAGGAGAAACAGAGATCCACGACCATCACATCATTGAATACAGCAATTAAGCTAAAGTGCCATTCAGGAGCATTTTAAAATAAAGCACTTGATGGTAATCATCCCTTTGTGTGTGAGAATAAGGAGGGGAGTGTTACCTTTGCTTTGAGGATACTACAGA